ATAAAAATTGGTCTTGTATTGCAAGGTAACGATTAAAAAGGGTAATAACGATTAAAAAGTGTACGATACGATCAAAAAATGTAACGATCATGTAACACGTAAGTATCAATAAGCATGTGAGTAGTAGCCAATCAGGTAAGCGGAAACGAACAGACGGACACACGTGACACTATCGATCAAACAGCGTTGTAAAAACAGAGTATCCTCCGCTTCGCTCCGGACAATAAGATAAATCTCAAGAAATGATATTATCAGCAATTCATCGCCAAGGCAATTGGTCGTCGGAGAATGATCATAAAGTGAATTAAAATATGTGGTTATACTTATAGAGTGCGAGTGCGATGCTAAGTTACGTTAGATCATACTATTTAAACCAATGATTAAATGGCCGGATAAAATACCACCTTCGATAGTAGACCCACCATGTAATATACCCGGGTGCAAATCGAAGATTTTCTTTAATTAAATGTGGCCTTTTTTTTATGAAGTTCAAACAAGTCAGCGTGGTGTTCATGCAATATGAATCTGCTAATTCTATTCCTCCTTCGGGTCCAATTTATTATATTTACTGTAAGATTCAAAAAACAAGCAAAGTGATTTTGTTAATTTACTTCCTTCTTTGGTTTAAGATTATATTTGAGATTTAGAGTGTAAGCATGGTGTTCTTACAAAACGCAATTTCTAATGCCTTTCCCATCCAAGATATTTCAAACTATGATTCAAAGAAAGCTAATATGGTGTTCTTGCAAAGGGCATCAACTAGATTTATGTTGAAATAATTTAAAAAATCAACTCTTTATCAGATTTGGCTAATTATCAATTTTGGCAATTGGAAAGATTCAATAGTAATTAATTTTCATACTTTTTTTTAAATTGCAAATGGTGCATAATTATTGCTTTAATTTTATAATTTGAATTCCATTTACTAATAAAAGACATCTAAATATGTCATTTAAAATTACGATAAATTCTAATAAACATATACTTTTGAAACCTTTAATACTAAACTTCAAAATTATACAAAACTATTGCTTGAATATTCATGTTATATTAAGTTTACAAAACAGTGTTTTTAGATTACACAACACTTTTTATTGCATTACCAACAATTTTTTAAATTTTAATATAATATTAATATTTAAAAAACCTCGTATCATGTCAAAACAGAAAATCACAAAATAAAGTCATAAGGAATGACTATCTAATCAATTACATATTTTCTTCCTATTAATTATACTTTTTCCATCCTATTCCTAGTACATATAAATAAGAAATATTTATTAATAGTAAATTATTGTAAAGTTTTTAATGTATAAATAGCTTTATACTTACAGCTAATAATTTATATATAATAATTAGAGATTTGTTATTAAGAGATTCTATTTAAGTTTATACTGTAATTTATAGAGTAACAATATACTTACGCTAATAATTTATATATAAATAATTAAGAATTTATTTTAATAATAAATTATTATAATATTTTTAATGTATAAAATCATTTTATACTTACACCTAATATTATGCGTATTAAATAATTAAAAATAGTTTATTTAATAAATTGCTAAATTTTAAATTTATGTATAAATAAAATTTTATACTTACAAGCTAATAATATATATATATAAATGATTAAAATATCGATTTAATAATAATAAGGTTTAATTTATAAAATAGTATTCTACTTACTACAACCTAATAATTTATATATAAATAATTAGAGATTCTTTATTTAATAGTAAATTTTATGTTTTAATTTATAAAATAATTTTGTACTTACACCCTAAAAATTTAGATAAATATTTACTTAATAGTAAATTATTATAACGTTTTTAAATTTATAAATTAGCTTTATACTTACATGCTAATAATTTATATACAGATTATTTAAGATATTTTATTTAATAGTAAATTAAAGTTTTTAATTTATAAATTATTCTTATACTTACCACCTAATAATTTATATATAAATAATTAAAAATGTTTTAATAATAATTATAAAGTTAATTAGTACTATACTAACCGTCTAATAATTAATATTTAAATAATTAAAAACGTTTTAATAATTATCATGAAGTTTGTAAATAGTAAATTATTATAAAGTTTTTAATTTATAAATAAGGTTTATACATACCACCTAATAATTGATATATAAATAATTAAAAATATCAATTTAATAATAATGTTTAATTAATAAAATAGCATTATACTTACAACCTAATAATTTATATATAAATAATTAGAGATTCTCTATTTAATAGTAAATCGTTATGTTTTAATTTATAAAATAATTTTGTACTTACAAACTAATAATTTAGATAAATATTTATTTAATAGTAAATTATTATTACGTTTTAAATTTATAAATTAGCTTTATACTTACATCCTAATAATTTATATACAGATAAATTAAAGATATTTTATTTAATAGTAAATTAAAGTTTTTAATTTATAAAATTAGTCTTATACTTACCACCTAATAATTTATATATAAATAATTAAATATATATTTTTTTTAATATAATTAAAAAACGTATTTAATAATAAATTATTATAAAGCTTTTAATTTATAAAATAGGTTTATACTCACACGCATCTAGTAATTTAATTTACATAATTAGATTATTATAAAGTTTCTAATTGTAAATTATTTTATACTCACCGTCTAAAATTTTATACTCATAAACTATTATATAATTAGAAAATTTTAATTGAATTAAAGATTATTATAACTGATAAAGTTTTGCAATTTATAAATTAATTTAATACTCACATTCTAATAAATTAATTTATAAAAGAAAAGTTTAATTTAGAAATTTATAATCTATTAAGTTTAATTTAATGACTTTAAAAATTAAGATTTTGCCAGGGCGGCACCCCAAAGTTCGCTAATGATCAATATCACTGTCGCTGCATCCAATCAATCAATCAATATATGCAGCGGCAGCTGCGATTGTAATGTCGATCATTAGCGAACTTTGGGATGATCGCTCTGGTAAACTCGCAAATTAATACAATACCTATTTTTGTAACTTCATGATCAGGACGACGAGGCAAACCTAAAAATAATGATTGGAATTTCATTTACCTTCAAGAAATATCATTATCTTAACAATACTAATTTTTATTATTTAGTACTTCGTTCTTCAAGCGGCAATGAATGGGAAATATTTGATTTCAATGTGCTACTTGTAGAGATGGGCATTCTGCATTATGTGCGTTACATTATGCAAAACATAATGTCGCATAATGTAATGTAGACATTTTATAATTTAAAAGTGCACATAGAAATTACTATATAATTTTAATGCAACAAAAATTAATAAAATATTATATTTTATAGAAAATTTATTAGT